GCGGCCACGGAACTGCTACTAAGGGGTGGGTCATGCGGCAGGCAGCCATGTTGTGGCTCTCGCTCTTGGCTGTTATTCCACTCAGGAATTCCGCATAGCCACCCCGGAGCAACAGCAGCTTCCGGGAACGGCAACAGCAACGGCAACGGCAGCTGTCTGAATGCGGACGCATGAAATGGAAAGAAATGGCATTTAAGAAAAGCGAAACGAGAAAAATAAGGAGCTAAACGACTTTGGAAATTCCATTTGAGCAAACAACAGGCACCATCCAACAGCCAAGTCAGCAGGCGGAGTTTGAGTTGGAGTTTCGCCTGTAGCCCGTGCCATTTGCTGCTCTTCACGAATCTTCTGGCTTGCGTCTATTCAAGTTCTGGCCTGAGACATGCATCTGTTATACAAGACGGTATTCGGAGCACTTTTAGTTGTCATATCTACAACTTCAGTGGGACCTCTTGCACAAGTTGTCACTTAGTATACGCCCACAGATCCTACAGCAGCCCTCATCCTACATGAATACGTCCATGTGCATGTCTACATATGTATTGCAGTGCTGGCAACGTTGGGGCACATAATGCAAATGGCATAAGAGACGAGCCAGCGGCATCCGATCCAATATTTGCGCCAATAAATAAATTTAATGTACAAACTCCGGGCATGCGAGAGAATATTAAAAACGAAAATTATATTCTACCCAGAAGCTGCCAGGCACGCACACACACTCCAATATATATATATATGGATTTATATATGTATATGTACATATTCATGCCAAGCCAACTCAACTTTGTGCCCTGGCTCACAAGTGTGTGCACATTTGCGCATTTGCATAAATATAATTATGAAACGGAAAATTTAAAATTGCATTCGTTTGAAAGGCAAAAAAAGTAAAGCTATATTCATGCGCAAATTGAAATTATTATTTCGAGTCCCCTTTACAGTGCAAAAATAAAGTGAAGACGACGAAAAAATTCGACCGCAACGTCTCGTTTTCAATTATAAAATATAGTTGTTCCCCAAGTAAGTTTAATATTTGTAATTTTTAGTCTGCGTCCATTTGGAATTGGCTCTTTTGCTCAGATTTGCATTACAATATTTTCTTCATCTTTCAAGAAAAAGCCTCAAAACTTCCTCATTATTTTTAAGATTTAAGATTTTTAAAATTCAGTCTACTTTTCATACCTTTGTAGAGGGTAATAAGAGGGATCATGTTCGTCTGTTCCTCAGTTTTGAAGCTATCGTATTGAAACTTTGCATAGATACGTTTTTCGTTACAGGCAGTACTTATGTTGGAGCCGATATCTTAATAAGAACTCGGCAACTATCAGTTTCTTGGGAACGAGCATAGCTGCTCTTCGTGTATATGCATCATCTTTTGACCACTATATCATATAGCTGCCATCGGTCGAAATTTTAACTCTCTATTTACTTACCGGCCTATTACAAAAGACTCAATTAATAATGATACGATAAATGTCATACAGTATGTACAAATATTCGGCATTCACATATGCTGAGATACAACTCCATATCTACGAAAAGTTAATGCACGATAAATGCTTGTCTTATTTGATATATATGCTTATAACGCACTTTGCAATCGAAACACGTATCGTTCATGTTTGGTGATTATAAAGTTTTAATGAATACGCAACACATCCTCTCAGCCCAACCCCAGCTGCTGATCCAATGGCAATTCCGAGTTGGATGCACGTTGCTGCTGCTTGTTTCGAAGCCCGTTCATGGCAACGGCAACTGCAGTGGCATTTTATTTTTACAACGACATCGCACAAAGCTCTGTGCCAGGCAGGATATTAACACGTACATGTGTACCAACGCAGGATGTGCGAACATCCAACGTCCTTACAACGCATAAATATGAACGACTCCAAGAAGACAGAAGCTTGAAGAGAAGCAAACACCCCTTTTTCCGTATTTTACCATTCAATTGGCTTGCGTGTCGTGTGCCCCACGTTTGACCTTTACGACCGTATTCATATCCTGCCTTTCGTGCTCGGGATCGTTAAAACGCACGCTTTGTCTCTGGGATTGGCATTTACGTATTTAATATTCGAAGAACATGCAAATTATTTAAAGACTTTCCACAAATCTATTGATTCTAGACGGGTAGACTTGACAATTTTATAAAGCTGGCATATCAGTTGTTTCTACTGCGCGACGCGATGTACCTAATGTCAGTCTGCTTAATAATTCATAACACAGATGTAACATTAAGAATAACATGTTGACCCCTTGTAGAAGTTTTATCTACCATGCTGACAATCAATTTAAATGTCAACTTCATAACCAAGCAGCCGCCTGTTACCTGTGTTACCTGTTCAGTGCGCACTAATGAGCACAACCAACAGCCAACAACAACAATGCTGACAAGTTGCAATGCTGAAAATTAATTACACTGCGGATTGGCTGGCATGTTACCAGTTAATTATGACCTTTTTCGCCTCTGAGTGTGCCGCGACTGCCGACGACAAATTAAAGTTATGGCCGAACTCTACGCTGGTATTGGTCCAGCCGACGAACGGCATTTAGCCGGCTGCAAAGGCGGAGGAGGCGTGGCCCAAAACAGGTTTCTTTGTCTTCGCTGTCTGCGTCGCAGCACTCCCCAACGCGCTAAAGTCTTTGTGTCCATAAATCCAATCAACGTCCCTTTTAATGGCGTTTTTGTTCATGAATCCATTTTATCTTTTCTTTCTTTCTTTTTTTTTTTGCCGTATTCGTCCAATTTGCGGTTGTGTTTGCTTTTGACTTTTATCTTAATTGAGCGACGGACCACACGTGAGTCAAAATTCATGTTCGCATGACTGTTCCACGGGTGTCTAAGAATTCATACAAGTTCTTCCAGAAAACTGTACCTTATATTTGGGATACTTTTTTGCGGAATTAAATACTATTTATTCAATAGAGTGTTAAATTAAATGTGTCTATCTTTCTGTTCTTATTACTTACACTAAATCCCATATATTATTTATTAGCAAATTTTGTAATCTTAAGTACGTAAGACCAATCTATACTTAAGCGAATACTTTCATATAATTTCCTTTTGTTGTAATATTTATATACTGATTCTTGGTATATTGTTATGTATTCTTTCTGTTATGAAAAATGTACTCTTTAATAGAGAACTTGACATCACTTTAATTGGTATTTTGTATTGCACATTTGGCAGGACATTAAAATGCCACCAAAAAAGAATCAACACGACATTCTGTGCCATTTGAAAAGGGGTCGCCGGGTTGGGTGGGACGTTTCACGTTAGCGACTGTCCTCGAGTGTCCAACCAACTGAATCTTGATTAGAATTCTTAAATATTTATAAAAACAATAACAACGACTGGGCCCATTGGGCCCACCAAAAGCAAACAGGTAGATTCGCATGCTCCTAGCATCCGGAATTCGTCCTCCAACCTGGCTGGCGCTTAGCTTGACTGGTGGTACGCCCAAAAGGGGCGCTCCTGTGGGCGTATGAAATTTACATAGAACGGAAATAAATGAAAACAACAGTTAGCCGTGCACGAATCGGGTTATGAAATTAACATTTGGAGCTTTGCCGTGCGCCCGAGCAGCGTTCATTTTGAGCTGAGGCTGCGGCCAAGTGGCAAATGCTGCCCCAACGCTTTGCGCCTGCTGAGCCAGCATTTGCCACTCGGCCGCAACTTAAAATGCGAAAAGTCGACAAAAAGTCTAAAAAGTTTTCGGTCCACCCATTCCATGCTGCGGTGCGGAGCTCTTGCGAAACGAAATGAAATTTTCAGTTGAGTTGCCAGCATCACACGCCCCCTCGACGCTGGCTGGGCTGAGCTTATGGATAGGGTATTCTGCTGAGCTGCCGTTGCCACTGCAGCGGAGCTGGCATCCAAAAAGAAATTGGGACGTTGGCATTGGTGGCAGCGGCAGCAGCAGCGGCATCAGCAACACCGAGGACAGAGTCGACACATTTAACGATTATTGCCGGGCATTAAAAATAACAAGCAAAAGTTTTGCGCATAAAGCCGCTTCGGGGATTCATTCAGCGAATCCAAAGGCGAACAAAACTCTTTTGCCGAATCCTTTCTCAATTGCAATTGTTGATCCTTTCGCAGCTGTGAGGACTTCGGCTCGTATCGTTGTCGCAGCTCTTTGCAATGAAATCGCAAAAGTTTAAATTCAATTCGAACCAAGTGAGCATTTCTTTGATTTGCATTAGCAAAATTGTTTTTATCTTTACATAAGTTAAAGTATTTTGTTAGACTTCTGAGCCATGTAATTTTGTATCTTAAAAGTTCACACTTTTAAGGGAACCACTTAATAAAGCAATCCGAGGAATTTGGAAAATATACTTTTCCTTCAAGCTCAAATAAACAATTGAAAGCCTATAAATATACTGATTGAAGTTTCTTACATAAAGACTTCCGCTTAAGACCGTTGATTATTATTATTTGATTATTATTAATTTTTAATATAAAATATAAATATTTGAATAAACCCCTTAGATTTTTAGCGTAAGAGGCTTGCAGGCATGATTTTATCATAGCAATGAGCTTTACGTCATTCAGTCGTGAACGCTACATTCAAATAACAGAGCATTCCACCAGCTAACATACTATTCCATTGTGAATGGAAATAACGTCATGCAAGTTAAACAATTATTTCGAATACTTTAGTTGTTGACCTAAATCTTATTTTATAAGAACTTAATTTTGAGCAGTTCTTATTTCTGGGTATTTTATGCTTTATATGCCGATGTATTTCGACTCTCCTCGAGGATCGCAAGTCCAATAATTATATCTAGCAATTAGACCAACTCTTCAATTTATAAGAAACTCCACCGTTTAACAGAAACGAAATATAACTCCTTCATTTACCAGAAACTCCACCGTTTAACAGAAAATTTCTGTAGCATACGAAAACTCCACCACGTAACATAATAATTAACGATAACATACAGCTCCACCACTTAACAGAATAAGAGCATACTACGGCATTTTAAAGGTTGCCGCTAACGGTCACACTGAGCACGCATTAAAAGTATACAAATTATTAAATAAAACAATTGACAATAAATACAAACTATGGATAATGTAAAAGAACTAATACAATTCATGCAGCCCAATCAGCGCCTGGATCTGAAAGCAGTTGCTTTAACACATGTGCTAAGTAGGTGAATGTGGCAGCCAACGCAACACGTGCTCCGCTCCCTAAAAGATTTGTGTGCATCTTTATATGCTGTGAATATTTGATATTTGAATAGGTCTAACTGGCAGTACAGAGGGAAAAGATGCAATACTCTCGCTAGACGATATGTTAATGGCCATTTTCGGACTAACGTTTGATGCCAATTCGACAGTTGCGAAGGATGCAGTCCTCAGTCTGATAAATCTAACGGCGGAAGAAGCCGGCGCAATCAGAGTCTTCGAATTGGCGAAACAAGTACAGCCCGTAAGTTGAGGCACGCTGATAGCCATACCACGCACTAATCATTTTAATTGACAGAGCTTTGACATAGTGGGCGTGGCCGCCAAGCAGATATGCGACGAGCAGGCGGAGCTTGCCGATGCCTGGAGCATGGTTCTCAGCAACTTAACGCGCGTCGAGTCGCTGGTGCATGTCATACTGGACACATTGGAACCGACGCTGCCCAAACTGGCAAAAGCCTTTGCCAAGCTGGATTATAATAAGAAAAAATCCAAGCTCCACTATTTGGCGCCCATATTTTGTAATCTTACTCAAGTGCCTCGCGGGCGAGAGCTGTGTTGCCAGCCAAAGTACCAGCTGCTGGAGAAGCTACTGCCCTTTGCCTCATTTGAGGAGAGCGTAGTGCGCCGCGGTGGCACTATTGGCATCATCAAAAACATATGCTTTGATGCCGTGTATCATGATGTCATATTGAATGAGCAGGATGACATATTGGTTGCCATACTGCAGCCACTGTGCGGACCCGAAGAGTTCAGCGATGAAGACAATGAAAAGCTGCCCATTGAGCTGCAGGTGAGTAGCTCATCAAATGCCGGATTTTATGTGTAGTATGCAACATTTTCTCAGTATCTGCCCGAGAGCAAGACTCGTGAAACAGATCCGGACCTGCGCAAAATGCTGTTGGAGTGCCTGCTGCAACTATGCGCCACGCGACGATGCCGCGAGGTGCTGCGCGCCAAAGGCGTCTATGAAATACTGCGAGAGTACCACAAATGGGAGGCGAAAGTGGGACGAGACAGCGAATGTCTGCTGGCCTGTGAGAACGTGGTAGATATTCTAATCAAGTAAGTTCGATTTTGGGTAGATTACATTTTTCATATTAAAATTGCATTTTGTTCACAGAAAAGAGGATGAAATTGGCTTAGACAATTATAAAAGCGTGGAAGTGCCTGCAGAGCAGGCCGATAAGTTTATTCAGGAGGATGCCGCGTATGTCAAGAGTCTTTTAGATTAATGTAAATATGAATAGACTTATTTAAACACGTATAAAATATTTAAATTTCAATATATATATATATATATATATATATATATGCGGATTTATTTAGAAATTTTTGTAGTTCACATGTATTTGTATTTTCTATCTTAGCGCCAGAAAAAGTTGTACGCCTGCATTTAAATGCAAAAGAAACAATTTTATTTCAATTTGATTAGTTTTAGTAGCTGCGTTATCTAGTTTTCCGCTTGCGCTTAAATATAAATATAAACTTCTTAGGTGCTAAATACATTTGCATTCAAAAATGTTTAGCAATGTTTTGCCATGAAACTTTCAACGTTATATATTATACACTTTGTTTGGTCGTTCTTTACTTTTAGTTATATTTTTTTATAATTGTATATGTGAACTGTGTTGAAGAATTTTATTATTTCAATTGCTAGCCAATCAGGTGCTTGATTTATTTAAACTTTTGCTTTTGATTAAATACTTTTGTTGCATTGCAAGCAAGCGAGTTCAGCAAAATTTTGTTATCTTATCAAAAAGGGTGTGTAATCTTTTTACTTTGCATTTTTTACATTAGATTTTATTCTTTTGAATGCGGAAACCATTACAAGCTCGCTTTGTGTAAAAATGAATAGTGTAATTGTAAACATAAATTAGCTATAAATCGTAATTATATTCGTTTGGTTATTATTATTAACAATTCTCATTTATAAAATGCTATTGATGTTTTCTTAAGCTTTGCACATAGATTTAGCTTGGTCCTATTGGTTTTTCATTTGAGTTCGTAAATTTTAGTTAGACTTTTTAATTAAAAGTTTAGGCTTAATGTAATTTAGCATGTTGTAAAATTAATTCTTATATAATTCGTTTTATTTGTTAACTAAGAACTGATGTCGTACTACATTTTTTTCATTGCGGGCCAGGTTTGAGTTAACTAATTTTAAATAGAGCTGCGAACAGTGGAGGTTCATCATAAAGATCATACAATGCGACAAATGACGGCATATTGCACTAACTATAAATAGATTGAACAGTAGGTAACTTAGCCAGTTTAATTGAGTTAGAGATAAGGCGGTAGTAAAGATTCTATAAAAGTTTCAGTTTATTGTACAAAATCTACCTATGTAAAAACATTTGTTAACAAACGCCTATCGCATGAGGCGCGACAGTACCTCGTACTCAAAGATCTTGACCTCCTCCGAGTCGTAGGGTATGTACAGACAGCCATGTGAGGGATGTACCTTGCCCACTGTTAGGCTGCCGGCATGGTAGCCGCGCCCGGCATACAATTCCTCGCCATCCACATTGCGACCCACTGGAACGGCACCGATGGGCACTTCGCCATTTGCACCGGGTAACCACACGTAGTTGTGACCACTTAGCACTTCATAGTTCTCCAGCTCTACCTCCTGGCCGGCATAGGCCACGTAGGCCTTGCCCTTGTTTGGTATGATCTTTGCTGGCAGCATGTCGTTGTTGTAGAAGGCACGCCCGATAAATATGGTATCGCCATCGGAGTCATGACCAGCAGCAACGGCGTCTTGCGGCAAAGAGCCGTGGCTATAGTGTAACCAACTATGGACTGCAAAGGATTAATGAAAGCGTTAGTTCTTTACCGACTATCAATTTGTGCCCCGTTGCTTACCAGACATTCTGTTCGACTTTCAAATGGGAACTATGCGCTTGTCAGACAGTCAATATTGCTTATGGAACTTTTTCTAGAATTGGTAATACCATTGATAAAAGCTTATCTTTCTAGTTGTTGTAGACTCTGGTGCGATAGCCCAGCCGGTAATCAGCTGATGAATCAAGCTCTTTATCACAGTCGCAGATGTGGTTGGTTTACCTGTGCAATACGATTTATGCTACGCTTGGCTACAGTAAGGAAATCAACATTAATCATACTTAAATTAATTATAAAATTGATTTCCGTTTAAATAATTGAAATTAAATATAGTTGTTTATATTCGTTTACAGCTTGTTTCGCAGTTTTCTACAATCGTCAACTCTTTCTATATGGCCGCTAATTTATAACATTCATACATTCCCGTAGCTTTTAAATAATTGTCGCCTAAAATTCAGCAGTTTCTAACAAATTAATAAATCTATTTACAATAGTCGATCAATACACAGGTGAGTTTGTAAGTAAAAATGTAAATATGTATGTACCTAATCGCTAAAAATAATTGCAATTGAATTTGAATTCTCGTTTTGTCTAGCTTTGATTTTGACTCGATAATTGCCTAGCAGCGCTTTGCGTTTTTTAAAAATAGTAAATAGTTTAAATTTAGTTTAAATTTTGTTCATTTTTCATCAATTATTGTTAAATATTCATTTATAAATCACATAATTGCTTGATGAATTCCATATAAATACGTTCGCTTTGTTTTGTTTTGTTTTTTTTTTTTTTGCCGAGTTATCCTGTTTTATCCTTGTGTGCAATTACTATTATGTGCAATTGTAGACACTGAAAGAGTGAGAGAGGGAAGTCGGGACACACAATAGCTGGTGAAAGAGATAGAGATAGAACATCGAATGAATTGTGTACAAATATTTCGCGCAGCTGGATTATCTTAAATGCTTTTTCACATCCAGTTTAGCTAAATCCCCTCATTATTCATGGGATGCAAGCTACTTTTGTTTTTGTTGTTCCTCCAGTTGCTGCTCTTACTGCTACCTTGCAGCCCCCAAGAGCAGCAGGGCGATGCTAAGTAGCACGGATTCGACGTCCTTTGGGTGGCTGCCATTGCAGGCATCCGCATCACTGCAGCTCTGAAGACAGCCGTGTACGTATCTAAAAGAAACAGAAGATGGGTAGCGCAGATAATGTTAAGTTATGGCTCCGACAATGGGAATATATTAGTGTCAGAATGTTCAACACAAAGGTAACATATGAATTTTGTTGCAGGCTATTTAATATACGTCAGGGAACACGAAATATTTCCAAACGACACTGTGCGCCAGCTTAATCATGAGGTTTATTATACTTGTGCACATAAGGAGCACAAGGCATTAAACAAATTATCATCATTTAACATTGTGCGTTATGTTGGATAACTATACAAAATGGCATTTGCCATATTCTTATGTAAAAGTGTGGTGAGTATGCAGCATGAACTGTGCACTAGCAATGAATATTGCAACCTATCTGTCAGTAAAAGCGATTCTTTAACATAATCTAAATGTAATGTTAGCCAGTACATGTTTCATATCGGTTGAGGGATCAAGGAAAAGATTGCCTTAATGCGCATCAGGTAATTCTATCAGTTCATAAAATATTACAAATTCAAAGTACGCAGTTTATTGCCCTAATAAGGGAGCTGTGTAAATCAGGTAATAAAGCTCATGCACGCCATAAAATAAAAGATATGCTTGGTTGGGTCACGCACCTGTTGTCATAGTAGAATTTACCACAATGCGACATTCTTATGAGCTCCGTGTCTGTTGTGAGTGTGCCACTGTCCAGGGCGCAGCCTCGCACTGTTATCGTCTCACCGGTGTCATCTGCAATTGCGATTGCAATTTAATCATATTATCCATCCATTCTCTGCACTATCACTCACCATAATAGCCGGCGATTTTAATGCAGGCCGTTGCGGGGAAGAGGCCATCGCGACCCTTGCGACCGCCCATACAGGGCGACTCGAGTATGGCGGTGGAATAATTATTATGAAACGGATCATCGCACGCTCTATTGGCGCCGTTATACGAAACGCACTTGAAGCAGTCTATGCAGTAGCCTGTCGAGAGAATAAAATGGAATTCGTTAGGTCAGGGCTTCAGAAGGACATCAGCAGAGTCGACTTGCTTACCGCTGTGGATAAGCAGGCCGAGCAGCAGCACCAGGCAGCTGATGAGTTCCATTGATGTGGCCGTCGCCATGCTTTAAACACTCAACTCTCGGACTCACAGGATGCTGAATGGGGGTAGCGTTATGTGGCCAAATGCCAATGCGGGCGTTGCAACATTTTCAGCCTGAAAGCAAGGAAAAAATCTTTTATGACTGATTGATTATGCGTATTCTGTTGATGGCCAACAAATTGAAAATGTCAAAATCACGACCTTGGCGTATGCGGGCTTTGAGTATTTTCCATTTTCATAATTAGATTTTGTGCACAGCCCTGGCCTATTCATGAGTTAAGCCTTCAGATTTGGTTTTGAAAACTCAATGCTTAAAAGCGTCAAGGTTGTAAAAATCAAAAGTTCCCCTTTTTAATTTCATGCGGGGCCATAAAAATCTCGTCGGGACACGCGAAACTCAATTCCACAGAAGAAGAGGCGCAGCCAAAAGGAAAGGTAATAAATTTTACAACACCAATTTTTGACACATTTTTTGTTCAGCTTTTTTGCGTGGTCTCAACTTTGGCGGGATAAGAGGCGGCGTTATGGGCGTGGTGCCGGCGCAGCTTGTGGCATATTTTTTATTGCCGGAGTGTAAATAATTGCTTTCCAGTCGATTTTCATGTCGAATGTGCGCCATCTTTTATTTTTTTTTATAGTTGATGTTAATGGGTGTTCTTGTTGTTGGCAGTTGTTATTGCTGGCAGTTTAACGGCCGAAGGCAGCTGGCTTGAGAAATTTTCTCTTCCTACGAAATCGCAAATTATAACAAATGACAAATGACTTCGACTTACGAGCAGCAACCTGCCAAGAACTGTAGTTAATCCATAAGCTCATAATTTATGTGACTGCAAGTGGGGATCAGAAACGATCCAACAAATCTAACTGTATACTCATATATTCAGCAAACATATTAATTAATTTTCATAGGATTGCTGCCAAAGAAGAAACTCAACGCATGCATCGTCCTTTGCCAGTCAATCAAATTTAATTGCCTGCCTTGATATATCACAGGCAAATGCGATTTATGTCCGCGTGAAATCACTGGAGGGATATGGCTTTGGCCTATGAAAACAAACGACGCAGCAGCAACTAAATCAAATATTTATAGAGTAAACACGCTGCCGGCCCATCGATGGCCATTGCTCAAACCATTCGGATGTGGCCATGAATACCACTGAAAGGCAGCGGTTGCCATGCATTTTATACTTCAACAGAATTCAATTTTGCAGCCAATAAAAACATAAAAGCCTAAGCAAGCTCATCTACAATCATAGCTACTGACTGACAGGTTGAGTGACTGAAAACATGAAAATCTGTTTGGTTTACCGGTCGTTTGCTTAATGTTTTCGCCGCAATTGCTTGCATTAATCATACGCCTCGTTATTCTGAGCAAATTGTGTGCATATATCTTTGTTGTTAACTATTGGGCTATGGTAAACAGGTAAATGCAAAATAAGGTAACGCAACATAATTGACACGATAAATAATTACAATATGTCTAATCTGCCTACCGACCATAAGACTTTATAATCGCTTTATATACAGGTAGGCTTTCGAAGCAAATAGCAAACGAATGCTTCTGTGAAATAACAATTCCTTTTGCATAGTTAAAGTGTTCTGCTAATGTTTCCACCTGCGCCAGCAGGCAAAGGAGCAAGATTTAATTAAAGTGAAAAAGCTGCTCGCCTTAGAACTTCTTTCTCTTAAATGCCTCAATTCTATTTGCAAATTAGCCACTAACCAGACTAACTGCCGGACAGACTGTCTGACTCGTCTTGGCTGACTTACACCGTTAACGTTTCCAATGTTGACGGAAACGGAAGTCAGCAAACGCTATACGACGCGCCCTCCACACACACACACACCCACACAATAGTTCTCGCCTCTGCCTTTTGATTGTCTTCTGTTCATTGACAAAATGAAGTTTACCTTTTGTGCATTGTGTTGTTGCTATTGGTCGACTTATTGTTGTAGTTCTCTCTGAAGCTCATAAATATATAAAACGTCAGTGTCTCTCGCATCGTGGCGACTGTCAGCTCGGTAGTTGTCCTCGTTGTCATTGTCCTCTTTTAACGACCGTCAATGTGCTTGTTTGTTGTAGCCTAAGTAGTAGAAGTTGTTCCTCTTGTATGTGTGTGTTTGTGCCAGGACTAATTAAATTTTGTGGCTACCTTTATGGCCAGGCTACGGACGAGCTGCCGTATCAATGCTTATGACAAAGCAGAAAGTTGGCCAGCGTGTAAGAGTGGAAAAGTGTTTGCTTCGTTTCCCTTAATTTCTCAATGGCAACTCAATTTGATGTATTATTCACAGAGTTTATTTAACATCTGAAATCTTAAATGCCAGTAATGGTAAATTTTGGTCTTTTTTTCTTTCTTATCTGGTTGATGTGGGAGCCAACTTTGCCTGTCCCGTGGCGCACATTAAAAGTGAAAAATGACAAAGCTACCCAAAAAGCATAAGTCAGATTAATAAAACCCCGGACCAGCTAACCCTAAGCAATCCTCTCATTTATTTCCTGATATTTTTGCAATGGGGCTTGTTGGCGATTCAGGCCTATGCCGAGTGCGAGCTTATTTATAGATGCAGGTTGAGATTTGCTGAGCACCTGCAGAAAAAATGCTGCTATAACTCGGTTTATGTGCTTGTTAGTTAGTACAAGATAGAATATAATAAGGAGGAACTGCAAGTTAGCAAATCTTCAAGTGCAGGCTTCTTGGAAACTTTCTAAAGACAAGGAACTTGCTTTGTTTGTCGCCACTGCTGAAAACGAATGATTTATTATGATTTTGGCTTTGACAATGATAATCTGCGCATAAGGAGGCTTTTGCTTGAATTCGATCTGCTCGCCTGCAGTCGAAGGCCCGTGATTAAGCACATCGCAAGCCCGATATTATCGGCACAGTTATCGCCCCCTCTCTCTCCCAGTCCCACGGAGAACAGCTGACAAGGGTCACAGTGGCAGAGGTGACAAAAAAGTCAATACAATGGCAACAAGCAAATTCAGGCCCAAAGTTTAGACAAAGGTCTCCCTTCCCCATGACCCCTGTGGCCTTTTCAACATCCGCGTGTGTCACTGTGCCTTAATGGCCTGGAAGTAAATGCCATATTGCGTCCATTTTGCTGCTCAGTTTCAAATTTCAACCAAACTTGCAAAGTTGTTCTTGCTCTTTTTTAATAGTCCCCAAACTTGCCCTGCAGAATTTCAATTTCTGTCAAATTAACTTTAAATAAATTTAAAATAAACAAGCAAAAAGAGCAGCTCAAACAGCTAGATGCCAAACTTCTTGTGGAAATGGCCAATTATTAAATTCACATTGTCTCGAAAGCTTTTAGCCAGAAGAAACTTTTACTTATGGTTTTGCGCAAAAATAAAGTAACCACTTTTTGCTGGCCCAAATTAGAAACCGACTTTGTTACATACTTTTTTTTCAGTTAGATTACAATTTTCAAATATTTGCCCAGTCCAGCCAGACACCTTTAATTTGCTCTGCTGGTCACGCGTTGTCATTGAGAGAAAAATAAATTTCACGCATAGCACACACTCACACACAGGAACACTCTTGCACACAATTACACGTGGACGCACACATAAAAGGGCTAAATGCATTTGCATAACTGCAACTTTAAGTGGACATTTTGTTGTGGTTGGAAAATGGGGAAAACCGTGAATTGCATTTGCAATTTACAGCTGCGATTCGTCGTTAGTTGGCACCCTCTGTGTGTGTAATTGTTCTGATATAAAATGTGACACTCACTAGTTCAGAGTTATTCAGTCTGTTATTCAGTGTTGCACTTGCATTGTTTAATTAAAATGCGTCAAATGTTTGCTCAATTACTTTTAATTTGTTTGAATTATGACAAAGTAAGCAAAAAGCTGCAATGTAAATTAAAAAAATTTTCAGAGTCGACATTTTATGTTTATTTAAATATTGTGAATTGTGAAAAAAAAACCTTTATGTAATTCAATTAAAGCTCTCAAATGGAATTATTTCCAAGAAAATTATTTTTAAAGGTTGCTATGGAAACGGAATCCTACAAGCAACACATATTATTATCTCTAACTTTATATAATGCTTCTCTCTCATAGTTAACCTTTTTTTGTTTCCCTTTAAAAACCAATTAACTGTCTCCTGCTTACTTCTAACTATTTCTGTCTTTATTTATGAACCGTGCTCTGAGGGCCTTTAACGGAAAACGTTTAATGGAAGCACACTCTAAAAATGTTGGAAGCTCACGCAAGCAACTCCTTTCTGCCCAAATGGCAGGAGATTTATGTCAGGGTCATCACGTCGACCAAACTTAGTTTTCGCCTGTGCATGTGAATGTGCATGTGGGAGCATGTTTGTGAACCGGCTTATTGCCATGCTTACCATTAGTTAAGCACTTAAGCCAATTTTTTCAATCATTGTGGCTCTGAATTGGGTCTCCAAATGCCAGATGCCAATTTGAACACGCTTCATATGCGGCTCGTGGTCATTAAATCAGCATAATCCCCAATTGGGCACTTTCCTGCCGAGCGTGAACTATTTGTGTGGGTGTCAACAGGAATGCAGCCAGCAGGTAACCACCACAGGCAACCGCCAAGCCACCAGCAATGCAACTGCAGCACAGATATGCGGCATTTGTGGTTCCCTCGAGGCACGCACTCCATTCTCTCTGCTGTCTGCTCTTCGGATGTGGCCGTAAATCAACAATGCGACATGTGGGCAGTTGGCAAATCCGCGATTGCAACCTCAAAACATTCCAGTTATGCCCTGGCCACGCTCACCCGTAGCCACTGCGATAGTCAAATTTTGCTGCATGCTGCACTAATTGGTATGGAAATGTTGTCAGGCAAACCATGGGCGCTTATCCATGGTCAGGGAAATTATTGTAAAGTAATTTAATAGTTAGTGAATGTGGAGATGATTGGAAATTGGATTCGGTTAGACAATAGTATGCAGACAATTCAGTGTTAGTTGGTTGTTATCCATTTACTCAACATCAATTTAAAGTAAATGCCTTTCTCCCACTTCAACATGCAACAAACTGCAACACTTTTTTCTTTATTCTCCTTTGATGGGGATTACAGACGCATTGAACCTAGGCCAGTTCCCATTTGCACTTAGAATCCTTCGCTCATTTTGGTA